AAAGCCCCTAGAACTCACTGAGATATAGTAGAAGTTGGCCTTCTCCATAAGGGCTTTGTTCTCGGCAATCTCCAGGTGGGACTTGGTGAAGTGATTGGCGGCAGCAAGATTGGCTACAAGTGACCTGCATGTTCCACTCTTTGTCACAATTACAGCACATGTACCTGCAGGGGAGAGGAAAGGACTGGGCTCAGGAGAGGTGCATGCTGGCAGACTGGACCTTGAAGCAACTGAGGTCTTGAGAGGGCGTGTGGGCAGGCCATGACGGTGTACGAGACTTGGTGTTGTGTTAGCATGAGGGAGGGAGAGTGAGGCAGAGTGAGGTGAATAAAGGCATACCTTGTGATATCCTGAATATGGGGGAGAAGTTTGCCAACAGAAAAAACAACAACAGAGGGGTGCAGACATCCACTTTGTTATATTTTTGGGATGTGCAAGCCTCAAAATGTTTATAATAAACATAAGTGCTGACAAAGTGGGTAAAGTTCTTCCCTTATTTATTGAATGGGAAAAAAAATCTGGTGACAGAAAGAGCATGGGGTTGTCCCTTAGCAACCCCCTCATAAATAGAGAATAAGAGAGAGGTGGATGACTGGATGACTGAAGACAGGAAAGGAGATGGCAGGGAAAGAATAACACTACAGATAAACAATAAGAGAAGGAAAAGAGAAAAGTAAAGAAAAAACAAAACCAAAAAAACTAATAGATGGAATAAGGAGAAGAAAATAGTAGATACAAAAAAAAAAAAAGGAGAGACAGTACAGAGAATATAGACGGCAAGTGAGAAAGAAAGAGAGAGACAAGGAAAGAGAGAAGGTGAGGAAGAGGTATAGGGGAGTGTTTTTTGGGGGTTGGAAGGGGCCTCAAAACTAGTGTTATCACTTACTTCATCATAATGCAGAAAAATGAAGCAGGAAGTTTATTAACTTTTTATTAAAATTTTCTTTTTACTTTGAAGGGAAGAAAAAGCCATTAATTTTTGCTGTTAAAGAAAAGTTTTATCTAAGACTAATAAATATACATATAAAAATGGATGCTAAAACAGAGAAAATATAGACAAAAGTGAAATGCACTTGCCAATATGCACAGAAAAAGGATGATGAGAAAAATAAGGAAAGCAAAAAACAATATAAAGAAGACAATTAAAAAATGTATGTATGTGCAGAAAGCAATCGTAGGCTTAAGCACTGATACTACTCACTAAAGAGAAGAATGAAAGAAAAGGAAGAAGAGAAAAAGAATTAATAAACCTGCAAAATTTACATACAGAGGTAATTACCTGCCAAAGCAACAGGTAACTTACATAAATACAAGTGAAAAAAAAAAGTAATAATAATAATAATAAAACAATAATGAAATAGAATAAACAAGTAAAAAATTCCAAAATTATCTAAAAGAGAAATATACTTAAACTTGTATTCCAGCCACACCCGGCCAACCCCGTACCTGTGGAATGGTCGTCCTGCTTCTGGTAACGCACAACAACGCCCGCTTCCTCGGCCTTTTTCGCTAACGTCTTGCCAAACTCGTCTTTGCCGATGGATCCCATGAAGGTGGCGCACTTCGGTTCTCTGAGGATCCACTGTTGGAGAAGAGAGCAAGACTGGTGAGGGTCGGCAGGAAAAGATGTTGAAAAGGAATACATCACATTAGAGAAGTTCGAGAGACAGAGACTTTGGAAATAAAGCTATCGAATGGTATGAATATTTGGTATTCTGGAGAAGAAAGCAAGACAGAGTATACTTGTAAAATTTGGGGAGGGGAGGGAGGGAGGAAGGGAGAGAGAGAGAGAGAGAGAGAGAGAGAGAGAGAGAGAGAGAGAGAGAGAGAGAGAGAGAGAGAAGAGAGAGAGAGAGAGAGAGAGAGAGAGAGAGAGAGAGAGAAAGAGAGAAAGAGAGAGAGAGAGAGAGAGAGAGAGAGAGAGAGGAAGAGAGAGAGAGAGAGAGAGAGAGAGAGAGAGAGAGAGAGAGAGAGAAGAGAGAGAGAGAGAGAGAGAGAGAGAGAGAGAGAGAGAGAGAGAGAGAGAGAGAGAGAAGAGAGAGAGAGAGAGAGAGAGAGAGAGAAAGAAAGAAAGAGAAGGAGAGAGAGAGAGAGAGAGAGAGAAGAGAAGAAGAGAGAGAGAAGAAGAAAGAGAGAAGAAAAAGAAAGAGAAGGAGAGAGAAGAGAAAGAAAGAGAAGGAGAGAGAGAAAAGAAAGAGAAGGAGAGAGAGAAAAAGAAAGAGAAGGAGAGAGAGAAAAAGAAAGAGAAGGAGAGAGAGAAAAAGAGAGAAGGAGAGAGAGAAAAAGAAAGAGAAGAAGAGAGAAAAAGAGAGAAAGGAGAGAAGAAAGAGAGAGAGAGAGAAGAAAAGAGAAGGAGAGAGAGAAAGAAAGAGAAGGAGAGAGAGAAAAAGAGAAGGAGAGAGAGAAAAAAAGTAACTAATGACGCGAAGTCCAAGCCCTCTACTTAGATGGCTCTCCTCTGACAGCCTAATCCTTTCATCTCGTTTATCAACAGACAGATATCACACTAAGTTCAAAGGCTTTAGCTGATACTAACTCTTAATCTGCGTCCACCCCCGCCCCCCAGTGAAGTTCCAAAGTGTAGCTTGGAAATGATGATTCATACTGATGGAATTAATCCTTATGAGAGAAAATTTGTCATTGTGTAATATAGGAGGGGAGGGGGAGGGGGAGGGGGGGGAGGGGAGGGGAGAGGGAGGGAGGAGGGAGGAGAGAGAGAGAGAGAGAGAGAGAGAGAGAGAGAGAGAGAGAGAGAGAGAGAGAGAGAGAGAGAGAGAGAGGAGAGAGAGAAGAAGAAGAAGGAAACCCATATCACAATAGTTAGAGTTCATACAGAATGTACCCCCCTTACCTGTGCTACTCTCATGGAGTTCTGTGTGGCTCCTCCGGCAATGTACTCCACACCTTCCATCTCTGCCATCTCTTTGTACATGGGAATGTGCTTGTCCTCAGCCAGGATCGCATTGTTGGCCTCCAAGTCGTATTTCTTTAGGAAGTCCTCGTTGCTGTTGACGCAGATGTCCAGCAGGGGGTTGCCCATGCCAAAAAGTATGCCTTCCCTGTAAGGTGAAATAAGAGAAAAGTATTTACTATAATGAATGTAGTATGAAGATGAAAAGAAGAAAAGAAAAGAAAAGAAAAGAAAAAAAAAGAAAAAAAGAAAAGAAAAGAAAAAGAAAAAATTGCATTACTCTGAGAATGGTTACTCTGCATCCATTCATAGTCCCGTCCATCAATCCGTATTCATGCTAGTGTAAAGGCCCCTTTTCCTTTCACGGGCCTTCCATAAAATTATTCATTACCCTCATCATCATCATGAACACCACCGTCATTACAATCTCTTCTCGCCTCACTTCAAGTATTATCTTATCTGTCCTTGAAGTTTAATTACTATAATATCTTTAACATTGTTGGTTCTGACGTAATTCTCTTGGGAAAGTTTCAAGTATCTGCGTATTTAAGGGGGGGAAAAAATCTCTATTGAAGAGGTGCAAAACAAGAACGTGGCAGACGAGTAAAAAGGAGGTGAAGGAAATGAAAGAGAATTAAAAAAGGTGAAAAAGGAAAGAAAGAGAGAAGAGATGAAAGAAAAAGGAGATGTCTAAGAGAGAAGAGAAGAAAGAAGACAGGAAAGACAAACAAAACAAAGAACACAGAACCAAGATAACAATAAAGAAGAAAATCATAGCAAACCATTCAACAGGAAAATGAGTCATATATATATAAATATACACACACACACACCTTACGTAATACAAAAACAGGACTGAAATCAAAACATGTGAATCACTTAACCAAACAATGAAACCTGTTATCAGATCAATCGAAAAAAACAATAATATCTGCACTCTATTTAATCTCCACATACAGATAAAAAAAAAGTTTCTCCATGGCACGACTGTCCAATACAAAAATACTTATTCAAATGTATAACATGTGGTGCCTGACGTCTCTTGATCACTAACAGAGATTAAATGAGCTGATCATAACAATTCATAATAATATGTACTAAATATAGGCTATCCCATATCACAGCAAACGAACTTGCTATCATGGTCTTATCTCTGAGCTGGCGCCAGAGTAACTCTGTAAACACTACTGGCAGATAAAGTATTTTTATGAAGAAAGAGGGAGAGAGAGAGAGAGAGAGATGGAGAGCCAACCATTACA